TTTGTTAAAGTTATTTTTTTTATGTTCTAATGTACTATTTCTGGTATTTATGGAATAAAGAGTTATTATTATTTTCATTAATGATTCCGATTTGCAGATGTCAACTTCACTGGCAACAGCAGCACCAGAGCAAAACATCACCAAATAGACTACTAGTGAAGCTTGATGGTAAGGTTACGGCACCCCCCGTCCCCTGGGTCCATCCTTGCCAATGTTCATGTTACAGTTATGTAAAAAGATAAATTTAACACCGTAAAACCACTGACGTTTCGGACGTTAATCCTTCGTCGGAGTAAAATTGATGTAAATAGGTAAAGGGTGAGTTTATATAGTAGGAGTAGGAAGGAAAATAGACCAATAGGAGCAAGGTAGGCATGGTAACGTGAAATAAACAAAAAAAGGAAGTGTAAGACAAAAGAACAAAAAATGTGCTAAAAAGGGAACAAAAGCTAAACAACCTATCTGAAAACAAAGCGTTCATTCAACCCATGGGGATTATAAGTGCCCAATTGGTGAATGAGCCGCATTTCTTTGGTTTTGCGACAATCATTATTGCCGCTAATCAAAGACAAACCAAAAACAATAAAGTTAGAAAGTGAAATGTTCTGTTATGTTCTCATTTCAGCGCCCGATCGTCTTGACATCACCGTCACTAGTATGCTTATCAACATGATAAAACAAACACTWTCCAGCTGGACTGAAGACTTGTACGGAGCATCAGAGGCAACTAAAGCAAATGACGGCAGGTTAAGCATTGGGAGTGCAGATGATAGCAGTGAGAGCCTTGAGAGTCCTGCACGGAGACCAGAGTCGAACCTGTCTACTGGTTCTGGTCCTCACAGGAAAAGAGCGCCATTTGTGCCTTATGCTATCAAGAATAACACGGGTACGTAGAGAACTCACGGATCCCTTCTTCACATAGATTAAACACCAAACATTGAGCAGTTTTCGCAGTGAAATTGGAACTGACTGGGCAATAAACACAATCGAACATTTTTACTAAATTCATTAGCTTTTCCCGATGAAAATGTAAAAAACACATAACACAAGGGAAGTTCCTACATATCGCAGCGATCGGTATCTTTTCAATGCTCTATCTCAAAGAAATATTTTCGCTTGTCCGACGTAGCAACATTAACTAGGGATGTAGGACAGTGAATCGGGATCGGTCARTAAGATGTATTTGGATCACGGTCATATTGTAGTCGGGTTGTTGTTACTGATCAACAGAAGATATTACATGGTTTTGAGGCTAACACTGACTAGAGAAGATCGGTTTATTATCGGGTTTTTCTAGATATCAATAATCACACTTTAGTTAGAACGTAGATTACTCAAAACACTTCATACATCATTTCCACCMAAAAATCACTATTTGTTTGCGTTTTATTATTTTACTATATAAATATCATCATGATATAGTCAACTCTCGCTATTACGGACACCCTCGGGACCGTAATTTAGTGCCCGCAGTAGCGAGAGTCCGTAGTAACGAGAGTTACTTTCGGTCATTTCTTTGTGTTTTTCACCGGGAATTCAGTATTTCCTGTCCGTAATATCGAGGTGTCCGTAATAACGGGGTTTCCGTGCGGCGAGTGTTGACTGTAAAYGCTTTTCCAGGTTGTCCACTTGTATTCAGGACAGTGTCCACCACCCCCTCCCGGGTCATCATCACTAGTTCGGGGCTAAAGCTGACGGCTCATGATACTGATCCTGACAAGATGTCRGACTGGAGAGAGGTCCCAGCAGGCCATGAAATACCGTTTGAATTTAGCAGTAGAGAGAAAATGAGACATAAGGTTAGTTTGCCTAAGAGGCCTATGTGCATCCGAAAACCTTTGCGATCGTTTTTGTTGTTGCTGTTGTTGTTGTTTCGCTAGAGGAAGAAAGAACGATTATATATAAAAGAAAATGTACATGTGCAATCATTGAAACATGATATACACCTACTTGCAGAAACGTATAGA